TCCATAGAGAGAGAGAGAGAGAGAGAGAGAGAGAGAGAGAGAGAGAGAGAGAGATCAAGTTTTCATGTATTTGCAAGCCATTGGTTACAATGTCATTTGATCATTAGAAGCTTATCTTGCACCAAAACAGAGGTTTTATCTTTGTCTAAAAGCCCACCACCACCACCTTTGTCTCTGTGTTTTACTAGTTGTTTGAAAAACTGGCAGCTGCTGATTCACTCTTTTGCTCACAACAGGGCATTTTGAGATTCTGTCCTTAGGAACATGACAGGAGATTGACTTTATGCTTTACACTTGACAACATGTTTGAGGTAGTAACATTTTAAAAATATATGATTGGGTAAAAATGTACTTAAACTGAATAATAATAGTAATAATAAAAATAATGTAATTAATAAGTAATCAAAATAACCATTGCTTTATTTTGTGATTGATTTGCACTTGGAAGAATGATGAACATTGCTAGGTCTATAGTAGTGCTCTGAGAGAACTGGTCATATTTTCCCCCATTAAATTGTTGTGGTGAATGGGAAAATGATGATGATAATTATGATGATGAGTTAGTATTATTTGCATAGGTAGTTTATCAGTCATCATCGCAGTGAGCAGATACATGTAATGGATATGCAAGCTTAAGTCAGGCACATTTGCCTGCAAGTAAATCAACTTGAAACTGAGAGGAATTTATTTGCAAGTAACCATATGTCAGGCTACTTCCCTCTCCCATTTTACCTAATCATGCATGATTACTCTCAAGTCCCACTGTATGTATATTCTCACAGAAATAAGTTGGGAAATGCAACCTTAAGGTCTGTTCCATCTTATTCACTACATTAGATCAATGCATGGTCATGGTATCCATTAGTCAGAGATCTGCTCTTCAACTGTTTCTCGTTCTGGCACTTACTTAACAAGCTTACTTGGAACAACAGGTGTTGTTAAGGATGATCCTTTGATCTTTTTATGCATGCTGGGTAGGCAGATTTTGGAGCAGCTTCTAATTTTAGTATTATCACATACAAACAGTGGTAGGTTCTATTCACGGCTTCCATAGGGCTCTTGGTATAGATTATACACTCAAGGCTGAAATAATTTAATCAAGTAACCCAAACTCTATCCATGTTTTCATTAGAGTACAGCATAAATCAATATAATTTGCTCTGCTTCCACGGTGTAGTGCCTGGAATCATTTTAGTTAAGGCCTAAGGGAATGAGGGCAAAGGGAAACAATGGACCTATGTTAGGGACACTACCATACAGTATATAATGGATAGAGAACAGGGCAATGGCATAACTATGCGATGTCTTATTTAGTCCCCTGTGGCTTCTGAAGGCAAAAAGCTCCAACCTATGTTGTCTGCTACCTTTTAAAAACTGGTTTAGTTAGTGAATTGTGGGATTGCAATAAATATTGGTTATATAGCCTGCATTGAGTATTGCAAATGTCTGGAAGTTGCAGTTGGTTCAAAATACAGCAGCTTGATTTCTCTGGTACAAGACACAAGTAATGAATGGAGTAACAGTTGCTTACTGGACACAGTTTCAGGAGTTGGTATTAACATAGCAGAGTTAATGGCATCATCTAGGCAAGGTTGGCTGATCTTGAAAAGCTAAGGAGGCTTGGACCTAGTTATCTCGTCTGTGTTAGACTTCTGTATTAGACTACTAGGAAATCCCAGAATTACAACCTAGACAGAAAAGTAAAAAAAAAAAAAATCTCAGAAGAAGGCAAAGGCAAAACATTGCTGTGTTGTTGCCAGGAAAACGACATAGACGTGTCCGAGTAGTCAGTAGGAGTCAAGTTCAACTTGAAGGAGACTTTACCTTACTAACGTTAATACCCTAAACAGCTTACGATCCAGTTTTCTGGGGGCCGGTCTCGTCCATCATGGCCCAGTTCCAGCATTCAGTTCTGCAGGAGAAGGGCCTAATAAAAATGTCCATGCTGTCAAAGGCCCATTGTGGGACATGACTTTTTCTGCATTGCTTCCAGACATTCCCTTTGGCGTGCTTGTTCCCTATGTTCTCAGTATTTAGAAAACTCTCTGTGTAGTTTGGGCAACAGATGAGATTCTACACATCACTCTACTACCTTCATGTACTGAACAGCAAGAAAAAGGGAAACCTCCACCATTTTATAATACTCATTTCCAACCACAACTTATGTCAACTGCCTTACTGGATCAAACTGACATCTATGAAATGTATGTGCAAGTTGATCTAGGGTTTCAGCATTTGTGATATGCATCTGTGTATACATACATTGTTTATTTCTCTAAAAGAGGAACCAGACCAGTAAGAAGGCTTCCTGAAGAGCAGGTTTCAGGAAATGGTGATTTAGAAAGTTGTCATGATGGTTTCAAACACACAAGAGCACTCAAATAGGGTGGTCCTATCACTTGGCAGAGTGAGATGGTCACATCAAGGAGTTGATTTAGGACGCCATGAAGGGGCAGGAAATTGTTAACTTGCAATTTTTTTATGGTTGTATTTTTCCTGACAGGGAAGAGGGAGATACCGACATGTGAAGTGGCGTTCTCCATTTCAGAGCATTCTGGCTGACCTCTTGACTGGAGGTCGTTATTATGCGTTCCAGTTTAGGTAGCAATAAACAGTATATTGGTCTGATCCTGCAGATGCCTTCAGCAATTTATTATGGGCCAGCCTAACCTATCTGATCAATTCCTGAGAGACTAACTGGGATAAGAATGAGATAACTTCTTAGACTGAAATAATAAAACTAGAATTATAATGGAAAGGAGTAAGGCCATATTAGTGTGCTTACTGTTCAAACCAAAAGATAAAAGCTTGTCTTCAGATATTCCAAATGTTTGGTCATAGGAATTGGAATCCAAAGACAGTAAGAGTCAAGGCCATATTTTTTGTACTTTGCTTGTTTGTACTTTTGTGCTTTGATATTGCTAGAAAGAGGAAGGACAGCATCTTCTCAAAACCTTATTCAGTCGATTCTCTGGCTTTTGTAGTTCCAGAAGACATTACCCATGCATTTCAAAAAACACTTTCCCAGTCATAATACATGCTAGAAAATTGTCTTTATAGTTTAAAAAAAAAAAGCTATGGTCTCCATATTATTTTCTGGTAATATGTACCCAAGTCATGGGTGTGAGGGAATTTGCCAGGGCTGGCCCTTTTGAAAATGCCACTTTATAGCAGATATGCTATAGCCTCA